TAACGACAGACACACTCACCCACGCCCCCAAGTCTCTCTCCTCCACAAAAGGCAAGACCCCATTTGTCCTGCATTTGCCAGGTGCCTCTCTCTCCTGGGGGGGCCTCTCAGGTGAGGCCTAACAGGCACACAGCAACGGACTACTCACGCCTCTGTATGGCAAGTCTACGTCTTAAAATTAATACTGCCTAGGATTTTGTCCCAGAACTCTTTCACGCGACTTTTTACTCAGGCTTGTATCTTTCATTTTGTATTTGTAAAATTAATTTTAGTAGACATATTTTCTCATCACTATTGCATGTTTTAAATAATCCTGTCAAATAATTTTGAACCCTGGTTTTTATCATCTAAACATTAGCTAGCTACTGATCCCTTTTCATTTTATATGAAAATGTGACGGTGCACCGTTTCCATCGACAACCAAGTCACCAGCACTCCCTGTGGTAATTTTCTTCGCTATCTCTTCTGTTCTAAAACCCTGCAATTCACCATTCCCTGCGCTTCAACGTTCAGCTATGCTAGAGTAGGCATTTCTTACAATGACCCGTTTTCTAATCACTACCGTTCCGAGATATTTTAAATAACGTAAAATTGCGCATTTTCGTTTTGCTAGCTGTATTTTTATCCGTGTAACTCGTGCTCAGGAAGACTCATCTCCGCTCAGCTCCTCAAAGGAGCGGCCTGCACAGCAGGGAGCGGGCGTCGTTGGAGGCGCTTTCCGCACCTGAGCGTGGGATTCCGAAAAACGCCTGTGCGCCGAGGCTGAAAAACGTGGGACCCCTTGGCCGAGAGGGGCCGCTGAGGATTCCCACCGCGCCCTGCAGAGCGGCCGGGGGCCCAGCGGGGTCCGCCGGGGTCTACNGCCGCGCCTGCGCACTCGCTCTCCGGACCGCCACAGCGTCTGAGCGCACGCCACACCACGTGACCCGCTGCCAGTACCCAAGATGGAGGCTGAGGCGAGGCCTGGCCGGCTCCCTGCCTCAGCCCGCGCCCAATTGTGCTTCCACCAAACGAGATAGGCGAGCAGGCACGCGGTGCTGACCGTTGGGCCGCTCTGCGGGCTGCCAAGTGGGGTTGGCCACGGCTGGGCCTGTGCTTCCAGTCCCCACCCGACCCGGTACCCTGAGCTTTCTCAACCGCGAAACGCCTAGCGGCTGGCGCCCGGAGCGTCCTCTGGTACGCCCCGCACCCCGGGATTGGCAGTTCCGGGAGCCAATAGGGTCTAGGAGATGCGAGCGAAGGCGGGCGAAGGTGCAGCATCTCTGCCGTCCATAGGGCGCCTGGCCCGGCGATGGCCCGCCGCGGGGCGAGGGGTGGGAGCAGCCGGGCTGGACGCAGGGTCCCCGGACCAATGGAAGGACGGCCGCGGAGGGCGGGAGGGAGGCGGGGCCGANGGCCCGGTCCTACTGGACCATGGCAGCCGCGCGTCCCGGCGTTGCGAAAGCGCACCACCGACTCAGGAGCAGATTATAGCGTATTTACACTGAGCGTCGAATTATTGGACACTGTTGTAGCAGGAGACCGTGCGTATCGGTTGGAAAGGCCGGGGGTGGAGCCCAGGGTACTCATTTAATGCACCTCAAAAATCTGTAATAACTTGCGGCAGCTGATGCGAGTGTTTTCTTTATTGCATGTTGTAAATTGACCTGCTGTGACACAATTTCCAAATAAAGCGTTGCAGAAATTAAACTTAAGTTATTTTAAAACTAATGACTTTCTTAACTAAATCCTAATTGCATTACTGTAGAGACCTGCCTAATTGCTTGCTGAGAGCAGCTCTGCCTGCTCTTGGTGAGGGAGGAAAGGGCCTGTGTAGTCACTTTGCCTGCCCGCTTTTCTCTACTCAGGCTTTTCTGTTTGTTCCCACAAACCACCTCAGCTGTTAGGGCCTGGGAGTAAACCTGTAAACAGCGCTGGCCCAGCGCCGGCCCAGCGCCAGCCCAGCGTGACTGGGGGCATACTGGTGGGTGTGTACCTTCACCTGGCCTCACTTTTTCTTCTGTGATATGATCGTTGTTGCTTGGAGTTTTAATTGCCTCTGATAATTCCGTGCATTATTTTAGAGACTGTCCAATGAAACCTGGTGTATTGGATTCAGAATCCAGCCAGGAAAGGTGCTGGTGGTTGGGGAGAGGGAGGGAGGTTGAATTAAGAAAACTCAGCTGCTAGTACACAAATATACACTATAGCAGTTACAAAGCAACAAAAGTTATTGCAGAATTTTGCAGTTACTATGGCAACACAATTACTCTATTATAATTGGAAATGCAGAATGCCACCCAGTTAGAAGTTTCATCGGAATGGAGTTTGGGATATCAAAAATATGTGAGATTTAATTTCTTTTTCAGGTAGCTCCTGAGAATTCTAAAATCTGTGTTCAGTTATCTATTTTTAAGACTGATCGAGCTTTCCCAGATATTCTACTCTCTGGGATCTGTGGCATCTTTCCCCAGAAGAACTCACATTTGTGTGGGAGGGAAGTATTTTCATGCCTTAGAAACACACACCCTGACGCATTGTGAGACTTCTATAGCTTTCTGTATTCTGGGCGTTTATTTTAAAGATCAAATACCTTCCTAAAGAGAGCGGTAATCAATCAGAAAAGAAGTAGGATTTGCTCGGCAGGCAGATGTAACACTGCCCTCTTTAGGGTTAGTTCTTTCTCCTGCAAGGGGAGCTGGCAGCTTGAGTGCCCCTGGGGGAGCCCTGGGCTGAGGGGGTGGGGCAGAGGGAAGAGGATGGTGGACTTACACATAGGCCTGGGAGGTCTCGGGATCAAGGACAGATGTGGCCTAAGCAGCCATGAGCCAGAGAGAATGTTCTGTGGTCAGCAGCTTCACAGACATGCAAAATAAAAATCTCCAAATGACATGTTCTCAGAGGCCTTGGGGGCTGTTACTGTAGCTGTATGGACAAAACAGGGCACCCTGGCCACATGCAGCTCAAGCTCCTATCTTGACTTTGAGTGGTCAGAAACCTGCTTTATAAGGATGCTCCTCTTGATGTTTGCCAGGAGGACTCTAGTGCTGGAAGTTTCCACACATTGTGGCATTGCTGCAGTTTAATTTTGTTATAACTCTTTCCTTTTAACTACTGCATATTTATGCCCAGTAATCGACTTCCATTTTCCAGCTTCATTGTGAGGTTTCAGTGCAGCATGAATGGCTTTGAATTCCGATCCTTTGATGTTGGGGGTGGCACCAAAGGAAAGGAGACTTTGTGCAGTCTTAATTGCCAGAGCAGAAGAAACATTTCATCACTCCTGTAGAATTCGTCCATACCATTCTCAATTAAAAACGGCTGGGCTTTCATAGCTCAGAAGCTGCCATGAGTAATATATTAATACCTGATGTAGGGAGTGAGGGAGATGCAGAAAATGAGAGACAACCACTGCTGCTGAGAGTCAGCGGGACGACGGGCTGTGGCCGGGCTTTCAGTCCGTGGAATTGAATCGATGACTGTAGCTGGGGAGATGACGGTGCTGAGCACCCGTTTCAGAGTGTGAAATGGGGACTGAGCCCTGCTGTTGCAGTCAGAGGGCAAGTCCCTGCCCTGTTGGTTGCAGTTCCCAGTCTGTCCTGGGCTGGGGCTGGGGAAAGATGGATCTTGGAAAGGTTTTTGTTTTGGTCTCAGGTGGTTAGTATATGCCTCGGTGTGCAGTGGGCTCTGGGATTTTTGGCCTCAGTGTTAGAGAAAGGTACCCAGCACCTTGTGGCTCAAGTCAGAAGTGATGCCGCATTTGGATAGACCTGAAGGATCATTTTCACATAGCATTTCTGTTGGGAACAAGTGTCACTGAACTAAGGTCAGTTAAGCTCTCTTCATGAGGTCAGCTTTCTTCTCTTGGGCTTATGTGAGGGGGATTGGTAGGGCCTGTCTAGGAGCAGAATATGGGGCATGCCACCCCGTTGACACACCTATTGCACACTTCCTGGAAGGAAGGTCCAGGGTCCTAGGCAGGTTCCTTCCACTCTGACCCTCCATATAACTGTGGGGACACGCCAGCATCCCTCTGTTAGCCCATGCTGGAATCAGAATGTTTCTCCTGGAGCAAGGAGATTATAATACTAATTGCCACATAAGCCAGTAACTAATGTTTAAGGAGCACCTACTTTGGGCCACGTGCCGTTTTAAGCACTAGCCATCCAGATCTCATTTATCCTTCCCCATGGCCCTATGGGATGGGTGCTACTCTACCCCGTTTGCAGAAGAGGAACCTGAGATAGAAATAAAAATGCAGCATCTGGTACCTCTTCCTGTATCAAGTGCCAAAGGCTGATTCGTCTCTCTTCCATGCCTCTGCTTTCGGGCCAGTGATGGTCTTAAAGCTCAGTATCATCAAGGTGCTTGGGAGAGCACAGCCTCTTTGAGAAGATGACAGTTTGAAATGCTTTCCTAGTTCAGTGTTGTCTTGACTGTCCTTGGAGGTAATTCTGGCTTCCTGAGTATGGCACCGTGTAGTACTAGAAGACGTCCTAACAATTGTGTAGGCTGGTGGTGGTTTTGTCCGATCCTGTGCTTGGGTCTTCTCCTGAGAAGGCCTCCAGGGGCAGGTGGGGGTGGTGGAAGGCATCAAGTACATCACATCATTTCATCTAGTTCAGTGTTGTCTTGACTGTCCTTGGAGGTAATTCTGGCTTCCTGAGTGTGGCATCGTGTAGTACTAGAAGACGTCCTAACAATTGTGTAGGCTGGTGGTGGTTTTGTCCGATCCTGTGCTTGGGTCTTCTCTTGAGAAGGCCTCCAGGGGCAGGTGGGGGTGGTGGAAGGCATCAAGTACATCACATCATTTCAACCAGAGCAGCTTCACTTTCACTGTTTTGTCTGTTATTACCTTGGAAGATTTTATTGGAAGAAAGCACTTGAGCACCAAAAACTTTGAAAAACTACTGAGCTAATCTATTCTTGTTATAACACCCAGCCAGAAACCTTAAGGGAAAATATTGGCAAATTTAACAGTGTAAGAATTTTTAAAAATCTCTTTGGCAGAAGACTCTTTAAGCAAGGTTAAGAGACAGTGAGAGAAAAAATATACTTGTATAACATATTATATCTCTGTGTGCTTAATAGTCAATATGTAAGGGGCTTTTACAAACCAATAAGAAAAGGATGAACATCCCTATTGCAAGATGAGCAAAGCGCACAAGTGTGAAAATCACTGTGGCTAATACAAAAAAGACTTAGCTTTACTAATAAATTCAGCTTAAAGGAGATTCTGTTTATGCCCATCTTATTAGCAAGTTTGATAACACATATTGGTGATGAAAATAATTCCTGTGTTATAGGGTTCTTGCAAAGTTTAAATAAGTTAATGTATGGAAATTGCTCAGAATAGGGCCTGGTACATAGCCTGATGTAAATGTTGACTATTATTTATTTTTTGCTCTCTAGAGAGATCAATATGTATTATTATATAAAATGTAATAATTACTTAATTGCTACCCAGAAAAGTTTTATGTCTCAAAACTTTAATGGTCATTCCCCTTATTCCAGAGATTCTACATTTTGGAATTTATTGTAAGGAAAGAATATAATAAGTGCATGGATATCTAGGTGGTACAGGGTGTTGTGGCTACATTATTTATAAAAGCGATACTTACATGCTCGGGCACTTCTGCTCTGTGGAGCCATGCATGTGCAGATAGGCAGACATGCGGGTGTGCATGAGAAGAGCCAGGCCAAAGCAGTCCACAGGCAGCTCCTCCTGGTGCAAGTACACGGGACTCTGAAATGGTAATGGTGACCATCAGGGATGTCAGGGACTTTTCATTGTCTCTTGTTCAATGAAGCTTGTTGGTATTGTATAAATTTTTGCAGTAAGCATGTCTTACATTTTAAAAATAATAATTAAAAAATTGATATATCCATTGGGGAGAAAAATATTTTTCAACTCTATTTACAAAGGAGCAAAACCAAATCCTTGGGAAGTTGATAAATATGCTTAGCATTAGAAGAATTTAGGGGTATTTGTTTCTCTGACTTGTAAGCTCGCTGAGGTGGGGACTGGCCGCCTGTGTCTGGGCTGGTTCTTGTACAATGTACAATCCATGCTGCAAACAGTGATCTTTACTGAAAGTGGATCTGTACTTGTAATTCCCTTGCTTGAAATCCTGCCATGACTTTCCCTTGCTCTTAGGATTCTAAGATCTTAGGACCCTGGAAGGCCTGCCCAACCC